ATAAATTCCCTTCAACATTATCTAATTTTTTTTTTTATCAACCACCTGCGATCTGCAAATCTACAACAATTATAGAGAGGGAGTCCGAGAACCCCTCCATCATCATTCCATGAACAACAGCGCCAAACCGTCGTCCCAAAACGACTCGGAGACCAACGACGAAGACGACCATTCGGTGTCCTGCAACAAATGCCGGCCCACCTCCCGTGAGAAATCTCGGTCGTTCCTATTGATATCAACGGCTCCAATAAGCATCCGAATGCAAGCCCCAATGGCCTCTTCCGATCTATCTTCTCGTCCTTAACAAGAAAGAGCCCCAGGTAATCAGAGTCGTCGTCTTCAACCGCCAAGGAAGAGCAATGGAAGCTCGTCATCGCGGACCTGTCGCAGAAGCTCATTCAAGCCACTCGGAAGAGAGACGAAGCTCTCCAAGAAGCTTTTCGACTTAAAGGTTTTAGATGGGTTGCAGAGTCGCGCATCTCTGCTCTTCTCCGGCAGACGGGTTGCAGAGTCTATGAGCGCATCTCTGCTCTTCTCCAACCTTATGACGCAAAGGTTTTAGAAAAGTGGCCAACACTAAATCAGCAATTGCAATATTGGAGATCTCGAAAACAGAATTAACCACTGCTGTTCAGAGATTCCTTTGGAAACAGGGCGCTCATAGACTCTTCTGTCAGAGATTCCTTCTTCATTGATCTGGGGGAAAAGGAACCGTCTACCAGTTGGGAAGCTAGACATCAAGTAAGTGGCTTGATGAGGATAACTAAGCTGACACGCCGGAGTTGGCTGCTGGYACAACAGGGTGGTGCCTTACCGCACCGCAGGCGGACGCGCGGTAGCGTTCGTGGTGGTGCTTCAGGATTCCAATGTACCGTGTCAAGATCAGAACGAGCTTACCGGCGGACCACTGCCGTCCCATTTTGGAGTGAGCTGGAGCGTAGCCATCTTATCCATTGAAGAAGCTATCGCTTCGGGTCGAAGCACTAAAAGAAAAGGACCRGGAAACGCGGCGGCATAGGAACCACGGGACCCAGGAGGGAGAAAGACGATGCACAGGATACGGGATCCTCGTCGTAGGCTGGACCAACATCCAGCCGAGAGAGGGCAGCCTTTACAAGCAAGAGGTTTCTGAGCTTTGCGTTTTCTTATTGACCCCATGATAAACCACGAACACCTTCCTCGTTGGGGCTCCGCGCATTCTACGAACACTTCGAATCCATCGGATTTCAGAAAAGTGGGTCCGAGCGAATCCTCAACCCAATACAAAAATGCAAACTACGCTTCCTTCACTCTTCTCAGGGGACTCACTTGGGACGAGGTGTTGAACAAAGGAACCAACACTTCAGCGAGGAGTTCAGCCGGTTTTGCGATCGAAAGATGAGCAAGATCGTGGCATGTTGGTGGAACCAAGCATGGTCGGAGCCATTGCTGCAAGTATTCTTCGATGGGGCAAAGAACATCTGGTTGATGGTGGATGGAGGCTTCACCTCCGTACACGGGTCGGGTTGGGTTGGTTTATTGGGGTTTTCCCAACCGATCCGACCTGGTTGGGTTACCTGAGGTGGAAACCGAAACCGACCCATTGATAGGCAAAACCGACTTGGTCAGTTTGAGTCGGTTTCGGTTTTGCTCCTGTAGTCAAACCTTATTTTTGAAACTTGTCTCACCTTTGGTCCAGTGTCAACCTTATTAACCCCTTTTCCACTCAAAAAGCTTTTGTATTTCCTTGGTAAGCAAGCAACCTTAATCTGTTCAGACCTTTGTTGACCACCACCTGTCATTGAGTAGAGAATTTTTCATGTCTGGGTTCCTAACTGTCATTTCTCAGAGCCTAGAGTAGCCATCTGGGCATAAGTTTTGAATTGAGACGTTGGATTCAGACCCAGTGATCCTGATTTGCTATTAGAGGAAGGAAGCTGTAAGACTTCCTTTCCCACACCGAACTCCAAAGTTTCCTTATTTCTAAAACTTCTAATCCCCTTCTACGATTCATTTCTTTGGCTGAAAAAGAAGCTACTTTTGTCCATGTCATCATCTTCTTCACCATAAAAAGATTATAGAAACTAGGATAGATACAATTTAGTTAAGTAGGAACTAGAAGATGGGGTTGTTCTAGTTCTAGTAGAAGACTAGTTAAGTAGGAAACTAGGAACTACCGAACTAGTAGAAGACTAGTTCGGTTCGGTTTCGGTTTTTACACAAGAAAACCAAAACCAATCGGTGCTGATGAAAACCCAGCCGGCTCGGGTTGGATCGATCCGGGTTGGTCGGTTTAGTCGGATTGGACTTTCTTATGAACAACCCTACCATCGAGAGATTTGACGAATAGCGTTTTATTTTTAAGGGTAATTTTGATATTTTCAAAAATCTTAAATTGCACATAACGTCACATGATATACATAATTGACGGCTCATTATTAGATTGTCACTTTTTAAAGTTTAGATATTAAATTTACAATCAGCCTAAAGTACAATGTACCTATGAAAATTAAAAAAAAGATCAATTAACCTAGTCTAAATAAAATGTCTAAATTAATTCGAGACTCCTATATTTTATTTAACTTTATTAAGTCAACATCAAAGTGGGATGGAAAGCCCAAAATAATATATATTTCACTTTTTCTTTTCTATTTTATTTTTGAATCGTAGCCCTTTTAAACTTGTGGGCAGCAGATCCGAGCCCCCCATCTTGTAGCCTTTTGGTTGGTTAATCAAAAGAACCTATTAAGAGTCAACTTTGTAGTCGTCATAAGAAAGGAAAGGAAATCGGATAAAATGCATACGTATGAAGGACGACGTCAGGGTTGTGTTTGGTTTGAATGGCATCATGATGGAAAAATACAAGAGAGCAAATGCTAATATATATATAGTACTGTTCACTTCTATCTATACTACCTATAAAAAAACGAATTTTTTTTTTTTTTTGAATTTTTATTGGACGTTTTCTATCCCTCTTGTCTAAACATACAGCGGGAATAAAGAGGACATATATGTCCTTTACTCTCATTTTAAAAACTGTCCACTCATAATTTTTCAGAAACTACCCACTTATAAGTTATAACCATTCAGAAACTGCCCATGAATTATAAATAGTTTTGTCTTAGAGATACTGTCACGCGCAAATGCATGTACACGTTTACTAGTATGATAAAATGTCTGATCCCACAATTACCCTTGCAAGGGGATACATACATTCTCTTGAGTTCACATCAGCGCCCCACAAGGGAGCGCCTTTGGGAGATGTTCCCAATACAAGGTCGGGATGTGTTGTAGGGCATTGTAGGGCGAGGTGCTGATGTGAATTCCATTTTCCCTTATGACACAGGTCCCACCATTAGGGGTTAACTAGAGGTGCTTACGGTTCAATTAATCGAATCATGGGCCTTTTTTTTCAAATCGAATTAACGGTAATGGTTTTTGAAAATCAGTAATCGGAATTGAATTAAAGCTGACCAGTTAACCATCGGTTTTTTGGTTTTTTGATTTTCATAGTATTATATATAATAAATATAAAGTATTATAAATAATAAATAATATGATATATATTTATAATATATAATACATATATTCATTTATAATATATAGATAATATAAAATATATATGAAAATGTATAGTATATATAAAAATATGTATATCGGTCGATTTAGTTAACCATTATTTTTTTTATATTGGTTAACCAAAACCTGATCAATCAGTTCAATTTCATCGATTTAGTTCGGCTTTTTGGTTTTTCTTGCTCACCCCTAGTTAGCATTGATTTATTATTTAATAAAATTTCTTGAATAGATCCAAACTGAATGAAGACAAATATTGAAATAATCGAATCAAATTTCATTATATACGTATGTATATTATCTCATAAAGAAATTTAATTAATTTGTTTTTTTTGATAAATCGAAATTTCAAATATAAGATCCAAAGCCAACAACTGAAATACTTTAAACCAAAATAAATGAACAATCTTTTTTTTATATGGTTTTCAGATTTCAACCAAAATATATTCACCCCTACCTACTAGGTCCCATGAAGATTGTGGCTGAGGTAAATTGGAATTGATCATAATCCCATGCTCATATGCCATTATATTGGTTGTGTTTGGTTGCAATATAAATAAATTTGCACTGATGCAAAATCATGACAATGCAAATAACCTGAGTATAAATTGGAACTTATTCTTGTTTCAAATTTTAGCTTATTTCATTTGATTATAGTATAAATAAAGTAAATTAAGACATAAAGCAGAGTAAAGCCAAAACAAAATTAAACAAGGATTTACATTTTTTACATTTGCACACCCATACACTTGTATCAGTGGAAATAAATTTGCACTGCAACCAAACACATATAGTATTTGAATATTTCAAAGAGTATCAATCATCCGACTAATTGATACTCTCTTGGAGAGTGGATAATCTGCTTATCCGCTTGATGACAACACTCTCTCCTCCCTCTCTTTGTCCGAATAAATTAAATGTCATTAGGAACGTTCAAACCGAACTTATCTAAATAATTAAACACTTGATAAAAAAACTCACTTATGCAACTGAGCCTATAGATAATATTTTTAAAGAAATTGAGGGGAAGGTACATGAAAATTTCCTGAAAGAATTTTTATTGATGATGAATTGACGACGGGTTGGGTCCTTGTTTTAGTTTTTGGGTTTTTGCTTCGTTATTACACATGTTATCTTGCGCAAAACGGAAAAGACTTGTTCGTCAAGTAAAGTGGTTCTATATAAGTCGGTTTAACAAACTCATGCAAACGAATTGACGAAACTCCATAAACTCGTCTCCTGCCTTTTGCCTCGACGGCCGGGCGAACGCCATTGTTTCTTACTTCCCCAAAACGTCACTCGTCTGGTGCTTAACTGCTTAACAATAAAAAGCTTAAAAGCAAATAAAAATAAAATTTTTCACACAAATAAGCAGAAACAAGTAAGAGTAAAAAGGCATTCTAATCCCCCGTCGCCGATGAGAAGTAAAACTCTGACACTGTGAGTGAGGGTGGAGTTTCTGGACGGAATGGGTGGATGCTTCTCGGACCTAAAGGGCGGAAAACAGGCTGTGGGCGGGACCCAAGCTAGGCCCACTGCCATGGACAAGGACCCAGAACATGGAGAAGGAAACAATGAAGCTGTGGATATGTTTTACAAATCTCGAGGTTTACATGCTCTGTTTACACAAATTGAGGTATATAACTCTCTCTATATATGTCGTTTCTTATTAGTCTATTGATTAGCATGCAAACCCTAATTTACGTTTATTTCTTTTGCGTTTTCACCACTATTTTTTTAATTGTTGTTTTCAAAGAAGTAGGAAGTAGATTGTTTTTTTCCTATTTTTTATATATATTGTTTTACTGAAACGGCTGAAGCCCGTAGCCTGTCCGTCTACGTTTGTTTGGACTTTTATTGAATCTTATTCTGTGATTCTGGTTGGTTGATTCTCTTCGTGTGTGTGTGTATGGCTGTGTGAGAGAGGGCTTGGTTGGAGAAAAAGTCCAAAGTCCAAACTCCAAAATCATCCGCGGTGGGGGGCCCAGGTTCTTGTTGCAAGTGATGACTCCACAGGAGTCGCATTGTAGTGTGGTAGTTATTTTGGTCTTAGCCGGTATGCGATGTACTGCGGCGGCCGAGGGGAGGAGCCATGTTTCGGTCGTGGTTAAGAATATTTCGAAAAGAAAACAGTGGATTGCACTTTTTCTTTGGTGGATGAAAAGAAAACAATTGTTGAAAGATGCTTCACTTTCTATCGATGAAGACCCTGTTGTCCTACCTTTGCTATTTGACCTTAGAATCTTAGATGTTGACCTCTGTTTTTTGAGTCTTCTGATAAAGGTCTAAAATATTGGTGTCAGTGGAAATATTGGTCATCCAAACATAGGAAACATGTTGGGAATGCCAGATACGTTGTATGGAAATATTGTGAAATATGTAAAATTATAGAGTGCCATTTATTATAATGATAAATGATGCATAGATACATCCTTTTGAAATTATTATTTTGTTCCAAATTATCAAAACTACATGATAGAGCGATGAGTTCAAGCAATATTTTAGCTTTATGTTTGAAAAGAATTTAAAGCTGGCTCAAAGTGGTAATCATGTCTATAGGATGGGTAGCACGATTTAAAATTCTAACGGATCAACCAATTAATTTATTATATAGTAAAAACTTATATTTAATTTTATGTTTGAAAAGAATTTAGAGTTGGCTCAAAGTGTTAGACAGTTTTGTATGCCCTTAGCTTCAATCAGAATGATGTACTTTATGAGTTTATTGTAAATGAATAAAGATACATATTTGGTTCATGTTTCCTTGGTATGTTTCTGTGTAATACCCTTAAACTGGACACTTAATGAGACTCGTGTTAGTTTAGAATGTTCACAGCCGGTGGGTCGGTCTGGRGAGACCTATCCTGACAAGGCTGACACTGTGGTGCCACCAAGTCGGTTGGGGTGGCCTGTCTCAGCTGCCAGGGTGAGACCCTAGGCACATATAGTGTATGA